ATCTGTGATTAAGCTATCAAATTATATTGAATTGTAGTTTAAATCGTAGTAGATACGTAGCTAAATTAACAGTTTAAGGGATACGATCCTTTTTTTAATTTTTTACTGCGCTCAAATTTAATCGTACGATACGATACGTAATAAAGTTTTATGCAATATGTAATAAAGTTTCTTTTAAAAAGAATAGACTTTAAATAAACGGATTTTAATAATTTTTATTATTTTATTCTTTGTACATCGATATCGATATGGCTTCCAATAATTCAATAGTCTTTTCATTTTTATCACCTGAAACATTTGAACAAATTGTTAACGATTATATGAATAATCGAAAAAATGAACAACATATAATGAATCATTCAAAATACAATCATTGCATAATACTTTTATGAAATCCTAAAAGTAATCATGAAAATGTGAACTTTAAATATTGGATTCTTCATACATTCAAATTAATTAAAGTTGGAACTATTGAAGAACTTAATCTTAAATCTGAAAATAATAATTGTGATACACAAGTTTGTCCCATAGAAAATTTTTATATTGTAGTTTGTCAGGCTTACCAGGATACAGAACATGGCGGACAGGAAAAAATCTGGTTAAAAGTAGGTTTTCAATTCATATGCATATAATTTTAAAAATTATTTTTTTAATTTTAATTTGTCTAATGTTAATTAGATTTAGCAAAGATATTGTTTTATACCTCAAACTATTGTAGAAAATGCTGTGAAGCAGTGTAATGTATGTGTTACATGACGTACAACAAAAAGGATACCTGCTATGAAACCTATAATTGCAGATAAATTTCTTGCACATGTTCAGGTAATATCTATATTTATACTTGTAAATTTTTTTCTATATGTATATTTTATAATACAAATTAATAAATTATTAAAATTATTAAATAAAGATTAATACAATAAGTATAACAACAATATCTGATAATGAGTTTAAATATATTATACATATCCATGATCATTTTACAAGACTTTCTGCTGCAGAACCTGTGATCTCAAAATCTACAGAGGAAGCAGCTGGTTTTCTTTTACAATTTTGTTTAATATATGGTCTACCAATAGTTTTATATTCAGATAATGGTGATGAGTTTATAGGTGATGTAATAAAAAAAACTGTAAAACTTTGGCCATCTGTTAAATTTATACATGGAAGGCCATGATATCCTTAATGTCAAGGTTCTATTGAGAAGGTCAATGATATTCTTCAGATGAAACTTGGATCTTGGATTGAAGAGACTAATCGAACAGATTGGAGTGTTGGACTACTATTTATAATTTGTAAGTTTTTTTAAAAAAAATAAATAAAATAAATAAATATATAAATAAATAAATTATATAAATAAATAAATTATATAAATTATTAAAATTTTATTTTAATACTACAGGGGCAATGAATAATCAAATATGTAATGCAACGAAATCAACACCATATGAGCTTGTATTTGGACAACAACCACAAGCTGATTTACAAATAATTTCAATGCTTCATCATCAAAATATTATTCATGAAGAAGATATTTCATTAGAAAACCAGTCTACATTAATTAATAATGATAATAATTTATTAAATAATTATGGTATACTGTAAAATTAAATAAATTAGTTATCCAATTAAAATTTAGCAGACTCTAAATTTAGATCGATCTGCTAAATTTTAATACAACTAATATATTTATTAAAATTATTATAAAATTATTTTTAAATATTTTTAATACTAAGTTATTTATTATATTTTTTAATTTATTTAGAGAATAATAGTAATAAAATAATTATAATAGAGGACAGTGATTATGATAGCAATAATAATCACGAACCTAATGATGACATAATTAACAACAAAATGAATATATCTTGAGATCATAGTAAAATTGAAGAGTATACTGATACTATATCACAACAAATTTCTTGGAATAAAAAAGAAAAATGGCGTGCATCAAATTCTAATTTAATTAATGATAGTAATTACAATTATAATTATGATGATGATAATGATAATATAAATATTAAATTAAATTTTAATAATTATTATAATAATATTAACATTAAATTTTTATTTATTATACTATATATATAGAATTCATTATATCGTTATAATTCTATAGACTTGAAAAATGAAACCTCTGATATTTTATTAGATAATTTATCTTCAATTGATAAAGTTCTTGAAAGTTTAACTCAAGAAAGTACCAATTCATTGTTTGAAGAATCTTAACAAACAAGCAGTTTATATATTTCAATTGAAGATTTGGATCATGAAAGTCTTATATCAATTGATAATCAATCTTATTCAAGTCATTCAAGCTTTAATAACCATAAACAGTTATGAGATAAGGCAATACAACAAGTTAAAAAAAATCAACAAATTATTCGTAATGTTATGGAAAAATGACATAAAACTAAATGATCCTTAACTTTAAATCTGGGTAGGTTTATAAAATCACTTTTATTATTATCATTATTATAAATAATATAAAACTAAATATAGTATAACTATAAATTAGGTGATCTTGTAAAACTTCGAATTCCAGATATTGACAAGCTAAAATTAGATAGGCGTTCATTGTCTTGTAAAATTATTCAAAAAAAACCTGAAAGCGATATCTATTAGGTTGGATGCAAGTTTGGAATTCTGGATACATGGTATTCCGCAAATGAATTAGAGACATTAGGTACTAATGAATATCCAGAACTTGATATTATTTCACTTGGTACCTTTGTTTCTTTAAGAAATGCTGCAACCCAACAAAATTTAACACGTCCAATACAAACAACACAAGATAATCCAGACCAAACAATTACACAAGCAAAAAAAAAATCCCCTCAAAAAAATAATAATTGTCATTGCAACAGAACAAACTGTAAAACTAAAAGTTGTTCATGTCGTAAAAAAAATGCACTTTGTACTAGACATTGTGGCTGTGTATTGAGAGGCGAATGTAATAATCGTTAATTGTAGAATTTTTATAAAACATTCGTTCATTATTAATCTGCTGGGATGGGCGAACATGTAATACGTATTAGATATATGGATATTATCTTAATGGAATCGAAGCTAGCATAAGGTATCCATTTATAATCACAATTTTACTAAATGTAATTCAATGGAATAAACTAACAAACTATCTATCGATCGCTGAGTTTTATACATTTGTATTAAAGAAATAATATTTTTAATGCTTCATTAGTTTTTAAATTACAATGCTTTTTTAATTTCTTTTTTTTAAAAATTATGTATCGGTATTAATATACTGATTATTAATGCTCAATTAATTTTTAATTACAATAATTTATTTCTCGATTATTAATGCTTGAGTTTTTTTTTTAACTTATGTATCGGTATGAATATACCGATTATTATTTAACATATGTTAAGTTGCAATTTTAAATCAACATGTGTCATTTTGAAATTAACACGAATTGCGAAGTGACACATAACACAGATACTAATAAATGAGCTATTAATAAAAAAATTGACCGAACTAACAATTCCAATTCAATTAATGGCGCAAACAAAATTGTTAGAATTCGTTAAGGTAATATATTATGTCGTTGAAAAATGATTCGTTTAAAATTGCTAAGGGCTTTGCCTTCTAAAGATGAGATTTCTTTTCCGGAGTTCGCAGAATTTCGACGTTTTGGGCTTAGGAATCGGTTGTACCAATGATTTTGGCTAAAAACTATAGCTTAACAACTATAGATTGAGGCTAGCATGAATAATATTATTTATTCTTGTTTACATAATGAAGATATGATTAGATAACTGTGTATATATTCATCAAACTTGTTACTTTAGCATCAGTATTTATGCATTTGTGCCGTAATAATGTAATATGTGGAATAATGACTTATAATATAAAAAGATAAATAAAATAAACGTTTAATTTAAAACTTATGTCAGGATTATTGTCGTTATGTGAAAGATATCAAATGTCTAACAACATAAGAACTACCACAACTGTAATTCATGTTATACGTAAATTTTTGGGTATGAAATAAATCTTACCATAAATATTTTACAGGGCAAACCTGACGAAATGCACAATGATTTTCATTGTAAAGATAGTTTCCAATTCTATATGTTTCATTTACGTGACTTAGACGTGACTTAGCCGCAAATTTCAAATATTTACCTTTTTTGAAAATAGTTTAAAAGATCCTGCTTCTATTTTAAAATTCCGACTCAGGGAATTAAATAGGCGCACACGTTAATAAAAAAAAATAAAATAGGATTTATGGAACACATATTTTGAAGTAAATACGTCACTTATTTTATCTGAAGCACATCTTGAATGTGTGCCAGGTTGGTGGCGCAGTTAGCCTAAGCCGCAATGATCGACATGCCGTAATCGATCCATAATAG